GTGGGTGACATTTGCGTAATTGAAGGGGATTCTTTGAATGCTATTAGATGGTGTAACAAAGAACAAAAGGTCCCATGGGAGTTGAAATCTATCTGTCGGAGATTATTGACTTAGGAGCTAGTTTGTCGATATCCTTTCGGCATGTCTAAAGGGAAGCAAATTCGGTGGTAGATTACTTGGCGAAAGGGGGTGTCATTTTATCTTCTTTTTCTTCTATTTCTGATGTTGTAATCCCATTTAGGTAATCCATGTTTCAATAATAAATTTTAACATTTGTCAAAAAAAAAAAAAATTATAGCATGCTTGATTTTTTTTTATATATTTTGATAAATGTCATTTCTAGATTTTAAGCGTAAAGGAAGCCTGGTTTTTACAACATGTTGTTTTAGTACTGAAAATCTTTGTGATGGCCTGAAAATTTATTTTTATCTCTAATTATAAAACTTAAAGCTTAAAAAATAGTGTGGATTGAGTAGATCTATGAACATTTGAAAATGTTGAAAATTGACGGTCCAAAAAATACATTACAAATTGCCCTATTTCTAAGACTTGAAATCTATTTTTTCCCGTGTCTATACATCTTGAGGTTGAGATAATCAATTTGAGGACTTTTGAACCTCGAAACAACCTCTTCAAGTGAATTTTTGAGCTGCACCTTAATTTGATTGTTTGGAGCCTCACCCTTATATAAATTTTGTTTCATAAAAAAATGGGTGTAAATGCTCTCATACACATAAAAAATTAGCAGATAAATTAGCTGGAAAGGGCCACAAGATGCCAAAGGTTTTATAATTAATCATTAACATGCTAAAACTAAATAGAAAAATAAATGAGCTAATCTGGCATGGTCAAATAACACTGCACTACAAAGGCAACAATTCTCCAATTTGAAATATGAGAAGTTTGGAAGCGGTCTTGTTCAAGTGTGATACCCTTCTAATAGTCTATCTTAGAGATGGATTTGGGATCTAAAACATATTTTAAGTCACTTTGGATAAGTCACTCTTGAAGCATTTCTTGATTTCCATGATTTACAGCACAAATATGACAATTTGTTAAGGATATGAAGGAATAGTGAAGTGACCTGTGAAGAATTCAAATGAACGGTATAGCACAGAATAAGAACTAAAATGCTAATGCAGTGTAACCGAGGCGAGTTAGTCAATTGATGGTCGAGAAAAGATTATTGACCTGTAAAATTTTAATCCCAAAATCCATCTCTAAAATGAACTTTGAAAGGAGTCTAATTTTTATAGATTTGGTATATGAAAAACATTCTGAATCACTACAAATTTTTTACTACATGCTCTAAGGAAAAATTCAAGTACGTTAGTTTTGGTTTTTGTTTCTCAGAGGACGTAATTATTGAACTGCATCCCCTAACTCGTCTGCTCAGTATCCAATGGATGGTGAAGAGTGCGTCAGATAGAGACTCAGGTATGATCTCACCATCCATTGTAAATAGATGGTAAAATGAGTCAGAAGAGTATCTATTTATGTCCTCTGAAGCACCAAACATGTAGCCTTCTTGGTAATAATATTTTATCATATTCGGTCAGCATTACTTGAGAAATTTTGGACCAAAAATCCTTCTATATGATATGACTTGGGAAAGACTTATTTGAACTTCCACATAAATTATTTAATAAAAATAAATTTACAGCAAATTCCCTGCACAAGATTGATATTTGAAAAAGGACAAGAGTTTGATAGGGCTGAGCCCTATATCAAAATAAGTAAAGCCTCGCATCATAACTCATCACAAATTGTAATTCGAGTGTTGGAAAGCCTTTATATCAATCATTCCAGAAGAAAAAATAGGATTTCAAGCTCTAAATATAGCATATGTTGTAATAAATTATTTAGATCGTCCTTTTCGCCTCAAAAATAAATATTTATAGATCCTCAAGATCTATATATCTTTTTAGTTTCAAATTTTATTGTCGGTGTTGGAAATTAAATTTAGAACCCACTATAGATATTTCTGTTACTGAAAGTGCTTTTGGGACAAGGATTTGAGATGAAAGTTATTCTGTTTTTATAAAGCCTAGGCTTTATAGAAACTTCATCCTTTAAAAAATGAACCCCGATTGTACATTTTACGTTGAAGCCTTTCTGTTTTTAGTGTTTTTTTTTTTTTTCCAACTACCTCATGGTTCAACATCCAACATCGGAACCTTTCCTTTTTTTTGACCTTTTCTGTTTTTAACGAGTAGACTAAAGTTTCAAACCCATTTTTTCAAGTGAAACTCGGGTTCAAAATTGAGGGACACAATATGTGAGATAACAAAGTATTGTTGGAACTAGTGATTTAAAAAACGGATCGATGACTCAGATCAGGCATCCCAAAAATCGGTCCCGATCAGTGAATCGATTGTGCAGAAAAATATCTGAAAAAATAATGAAGCAGCAAAAAAAGGGTCCGAATAAGTGAATTGACAGTCCAAATAGCCATTTTACTGTAAAGAACCGCCGTTTTACAGTGCGGAAGTGCCAGATCCCTTCTAAACTCCCATTTTTTTATATATACATAGGACCAGAAGGAGGTGACCAATGCCCTGGTCGAACCGAACAAGTCCATGCCGACCCAGCATTTTTTAAATCACTAGTTGAGACCCAACCTTCAACCTAAGTCAAACAGTACTCGGGCTGATGAAAATCAAGAGGAGGCTTAGTTCAATTGTTATTTGATCTATTAATTTCATGCACATGGATGTGATTCAAATTATTATTATAATGTGGGCTCGGGCCCTATCCAATCCTAGGCTAGACTTAGCATATCTATTTGCCTCCATGTAGAATAACCCTGAAAATGAGTAATGATCCTATGAAACCCTCCCCCACCTATGTGTGTAGGACCTCCAAAGGATCATCACTAAATTTGACACAGATCTCTAAAAAAGTTATTACATAGATGTGGAACTTGATTTTTCTAGAGATCTGTGCCAAATTTAATAGTGATCATTTGAAATCCTTGGTGGGTCTCATAAGATCATTACTCTCCTGATATATATACATTCTAAAGAAACCCAAACCATATTTTTTCGCCATAATTTTTCTAGTCAGGTGCAAATCTTGGATCCAAACACTATTTGACATGGGTTTGGGTGCAGTTGGCTTTGATAATATTTTTTGGGTCTGAATATATGAAATATATTTAAATATAGTTAAATTCATAGATATTTCAATTTTTGGGTCATGCCCAATTGGGTCCGGTCAGATCCGGGTTTGGGTCCCACACAATATTTTCGGACTTGGGTCCAATGTACTCAGGTCTGGTCGAGTTTGGGTCCGGCCCCTAATAACAATAGCCACCCCCATAGGTTGAACTCCCTTGCGAGGCTGATGGTTATGGGAAACCCCAAAACTAAGATACCATGGATCAAGAAGCCATGGTGATCATAACGTTGTCCTTCTATAGAGAGGAGCAAAGGAGCAAACAAATGCTCATATAGACCATACAGGTCTTGATGATTCAACTGTTCCCATGAAAACTACTCCACTTACCCAGTTAATTGACCCTAAAATCCAAAGAAGCCAAAGAAATGGGTTGAAGAGCAAAGAACTAGCATGAAGGGTATAAATTGCTCTGGTCCAATAGATCAGACACATTGGGAGTCTCCACTTAAATAGAAAAACCATTCCTCCTTGTTCGACCAGAGACCAGATTAGGCTCAAATGGCCTCTTTCCTTGTTCGATGTTCTCCATGGCTTTTATAAACATCTATTGCGTAAGCATAGGGTTCTATTGTCAACAGAGATCAGGACATAGAGGATCTGCTATGCAGTTGGCCACTTCCTTAACTGGCCATCTATAATATTTCCTTAAACAATATCTGCAACTTGGGGGTCACTAAGGGCCACTAAGATTGCATAAGGAGGCTAATTCCCCACACAATATAACAAGATACAGTAAACCAATCAACTAATGAAGTATAAAAGGTATACATGGCCTTAAATTTATTAATATATGTTCTTGATCATATCCCCAAGTAAGAAGTTACCTGGTTCATGCTCTAGTTGTATTGTGCCTCTACAAAGCCTCCTACCATTAAAATAAAATAAAATAAAACTTACAATGAAAAGAAATAGGATAAAAGATGGCACCATGAGCCCTTGAGCCAAATACTAGGGCTGTAGTAAATATAAAGCAAATCATGGCAAGCCATGTTCCAATACTAAGGTGTAGCTTGGATGATGAAATCCTGGTGAGAAAAGATAACTAAGAACCACCTCAGCGAGTACAAGAAGAATTCATCTCACAAAGGAAATAGGCTAAATGCACACAACTAATAAAAGAAGTTATCACACATGAAGTGGTGAGGAACACATTTGAGGGCAAATTTCAGTTTTAAATTCTGATATGAAGCCCATAAGAGGCTAAGAGTGTCATGCTCATAATATATCAACTGAATGAGCGCATTGTGGGGTTCTTAGAATACAGAAAACAAAATTTTCATTGAATGGTTCAGGTTCAGATTTACGATTTCAGAAGGTAAGAAGGCTTATCAAAGCTGTTATTTCAAGAAATTACAACTTAAGAATAACGTGAAAGACAATTTTGAAAACTGTATATATCCAAATATTAAGGAAATGCCTAATACCTGTTAAAGCACTATGATGACAATGTATGATACATAGAAGTCACGAATTATGATATCAAATTGGCATGATGGTTTGCAAGTTGGCAAATGAAACACTTGGAGAAATATTGTAAGCAATAATACATCTCAAAAAAAGAATTAAAAAAAAAAAATCCTGATCACTACTGCTACGCGTTAAAAATAGGCCTACGGAATTTGAATCCGCCATTTGATCATTTAAGCATTACACTATATCAATCTCCCCAAGGCACATAACCATGGGAACCAGGAAAAACTTCAATCAAAATGCGCATCTAACAACTTGAGAATAATCAAATTTACACATTCCACATAAAAGTATTACAACAATTTGATTAAAAAAAAACCTGATCACTACTGCTGCGCGTTAAAAATAGGGGTACGGAATTTGAATCCGCCATTTGATTATTTAAGCATTACACTAAATCAATATCCCCAAGGCACATAACCATGGGAACCAGGAAAAACTTCAATCAAATGCGCATCTAACAACTTGAGAATAATCAAATTTACACATTACACATAAAAGTATTACAAGAATTTGATTTAACCAACCTTAAACACCTAAAGGGAATGATACCTGAAAGATCATAATCAAAGGTGCCCCACAGGAGCACAACACTTTGATATACAGCAATATGCAACAACCATTCCTAACAACCACCATGACATCACTGCATAAATACCATGCACCCATTTTTCATTTTTATGATAAATACCCATAACCCCTCTCAGGGGCGCAACAAAATTATTCACTATCTACCTTAGAAGCTTCATTTGTTCAGGCAAAGCCCAGCAATTCTGAGAAGGCAATAACATGTAAAGATTTCCCTTTCTATCTTGCTATGTCACAGGCTATGTCACAGACAAATTCATGGTGTAAAGAACTGCACCTGCCGACTGGTTGACTTTAAGGAATCCCAAACAATTTCATGATGAATATATACATGACCCAAGACAATCCAATTCTTGGATGGTCCAAAACCCTTTCTCTCGAGTTCTCTCACACTACAATAACTTAAGCCTCATAGATACACTTTTCAAAACAAACAAGGGCAGCTTGATGGCTAGAAAACCAATATATGCTTTACTTCAAGAAGATAAGAAAAGACACTGTATTTTGAATTGATCTCACCCATCACCCAGTTAGGGAGACTTCAATCAGTATAACATAATCACGCAACTGTTGGGGCTGATTGAAATTGGTTGCTCATCACTGAGTTGAGTTTCCCATTGGAGTGCCTGGCCTTTGAACTGGGATATTTTGTAAGCTTTTGTTGAAAAAGACCACCAATCATGTCCTCAAGGTTCCTTGCTGTGTACTTTGCATATTTGCTACCGCTCGCATCTTGCTCCACCAGTGGCCCATAGTTTTGCATATAACTTCTATAAACTGGAACTATTGCCTGGACAGCCAATTGACAAGTCTTTTCCCTCAAGTCCTTCTCAGATATAACCCACTTCGACTGTTTTTTGTATAACTCATCGAATGCCTCATTGAAGGCCTTGAGCCTCTTCTTCACTAGATCACGAGCAGTGGCTCTTCCACCTGAGAACAATATTTGACCCTCTCGGCTCAAGAGAGTAGGAAGCTTTCCCCAACTCTCCCTCAAATACATGGTCAAGAAATACTCCTTGTATTGCTCGTGGTCTCTTAACCAGGCATCACCCAATAGACTCCCAAGCCTGGTTCCTCTCACATGTTTCCAAAAATGCCAATGGTTGTTCATCATAAAGAGGTGAGATAAAGTGGGGTCTTCATACGCCTTGGACCAAGTGTCGAGATTGAGTTCTAAAGCCTTAATGATCTTTAGTATGGCGTCATAGAGGAGCCTTTCCTGGAACTTCTCTTGTCTCCAGCTCCTCTGAATCACCAGTACCTGTATCAAAACAGGCCTATATTCATCTCCAAGAAGTCTGTTACAGTAATCAGTAATATAGCTTATAAGCTTTGGGACCCCACCATCTTGAGGTGGGGGCATCTCTCTCTGTAATTCCACCTGAACAAGAAGCTCCCAAAATATCTCACAAGCTCCTTCAACAACTCTCTTGATGAGATCTCTGGTCATGTTTTGTATCTCAAAGCATGCCTTCCCCCCAAAGAGCCTGTTAAAGTCCAATCGAAGCTTGTTCAAAGTAGCAAAGATGTCCAAAAGCTTCAAAAGCTTGATGGGGTCTTTCTTACTCCTGGCTACAGCCTCTCCAAACTTGAGAAACTCAAGCATTCCAGCCTGTATAGCGATTCTAGCAAAACAACCCAACCATACATCAGGGCCAATCTTCTCGAAAACATCATTGCATAGCTTATATTCAGCTTCAAAGAGGTGTTTCACTGCAAATTCCAAATGGGTACCCCACTGGTTTATGTACTTCTCCATATTCTGTACATCATTGAATTCAGATGCTGAAATCTTCACGTACCCAATATCCAGAGCACTCAAACTAGCCCGAGCATTGTCACTCCTTGTGTCAACATAGAGTGAAATGCACCTCTCAAGCCTATTATTTACAGTCAACCTCTCCAAGATACCCTGCAATTTTTGCACAACTTGAACAGGCAACGGAGATGGAGCAATACAGGGTTGCTCTCCAGGCGTAGCCATAGGCAGAACAAGACAATTCTCTCTCAAAAGCCTCCAGAATTCAGCCTCTAACTTGTCCAGCACCACCTCAAGAAGCCCCCCATCTAAGCAAGTCCTCTCTCTATCCAACTCCCTCAAGCTCTGCAATGATTTCTTAAGATTCAAAAGGTACCTCTCATCTGCAACGTTATTCTCTTCCAAATACTCAACAATATCCTCGAGCCACTGAATCGCAACACCACAATTCTCACCCAAAAAATTGAGAACCTCTTCGAGCCTCTTCACAGCTGAGAGGTGACCCCAAATATCCGACTTGGGTTCAGCTAAAAGAGACCTCTCAAGACCATGAACTGCATCGAAAACCTTAAGAACAGCAGCAGCTGGACCAACTGCTCGATCTATGTGGCCCCCAACTTGGAGCAAAGCATTTCGGTGAGCCCTAATGGGGCGCACAGCTGCTTCCAAAGCAGGTAATCTCTGGCTAATCTCATCGAGTCGAGGTCCGGTCTTGTCTAATGCATTGGCCAAGGCCTTGGATTTCTCTAGGCTAAGTTTCAGGGACTTTCTTGCAGCTAAGAGGTTCTTGATGCCTGAATAACTGTTTTGATTGCTCATTCCTGAATCCTAAATAGCAATTCTCAAAGAGAATGATAGAAAAAGAGGACTCCGAATAGTGAAGGGAACTGAGAAGGCTCAGTGCTGCTCAAGTCTAGAGCGATACAAAGACAAGGGAAAGGTAAAAGAAACCCCAGATACCAGTTCTGAGACAAAATGATGGAAAGGAAGGATCTTGAATGATGAATCGGAACGAAGAAGAGCTCGGTGCTGTTCAGTCCAAGAGAGAGAAGATCGAAGAACAAGGGAAAGCTAAAAGAAGAGACCCAGATAGCAATTCTTCGAGAAATGGTGGAAATAAGGATTCACAAAAATGCAAAGGAGCTTATTGGAGTTCGAGGCAGAAAAGATATAAAGATAAGGGAAAGCTACAACAAGGAGCCCCACTTAACCAATTTTGAGAGAAATGATGGAAATAAACTAATAAAATATCTTAACACTTAAGTAATGCACAGAAACAAATGAGAGCTCAGTGTTGTTAATTCTAGAGAGCGAAGATAGAAACCTAACGAAAAGGTGAAAGAATAAGCCCTAGATACCAATTCTCAGTGTAAAAGGATAGAAAAGAAGGATCTGAAAGCAATACAGTGGAATAAATAAAAGTTGATTGTTGTTAATTTTAGAGAGAGAAAAAGGTAAAGGAAGATGAAATCAAGCTTACCTCTTGTGATTCAGTTTCCCTTTTCGCATTGGCCCCTGTATCTTTCATGTGAGCAAGTAGATTCACACCATTAATCAGGACCATAGAAGAATCGAGGCCACATTTTTAAATGAGATCCAAACCAAAAAATAAAAAAAGCTCCTTTTTGTTCTAGAGTTGCAGGGTATGATTACAGATTAAATCAAGCACCATTCATGGAAATTCCATTCAACGACTCGCAAAAAAGCTCAAAAATTGCAGAAATGGAGTCTCAAACAAGAACCAGCAGATGAAAACTCATCAAAGAGGTGAAAAAAACTCCCATTGAACTCAGAAAATGTCTATTGGTGCTCTGAACTAAAACTGCAACAGAAACCCACCAGATTCAACCATAAACCTAAAGAGAGAAATCCCTGGAGACTATCAACATGGAAAATGCAGAAAACCCATCAAAACCCTAGCTTGAGGGAGAGAGAGCTGTGGATTTTGGAGATAGCGTTTTTCTCTCTCTTCTTTCTCTCTCTCTGTTGCCACTGAAACCCTAAAAACGAAGTACAGAAAGAAGCACTTTACAACATAGCATATGCATGACAGAAATGTAATGGGGGCCACATACATGTGGGGTATCTTGGATATTTATGCCCTTTAAAAAAAGATAGATAATATTTTTAAATGTATTAAATCTCAATTTTCCCCCCGTAATTCATATCACCAAGTAAAGAGTTTGTAGTGGTTTATCTCTGTGATTTCAAGGAAATTTTAAAAATTTTATAATCCTCTATATATGTCTATTTTATTCATATCTAATCTTCATTATATGGCTAAAAGTGAATTAGAATTGAAAACATATCTATGTATTCTTGAATTGATTTCTATAATGTCATATTAATGTATGATATCATTGATGGTTCACTCTCAAACATCACATCAACATTAGATACGTGGGGTAGAAAGCTCAATAGCAAAACAAAGAAGCTTGATTTCATAATGCATAATCCACTCATGAGAAATTTAGAGCTGAAAATTTTATTTGATTTAATTTTTAGGTTTTTTTGCAATGAAATTTGGTGTAATTCCTCTTTTTAAACTCTAGAAACCCTATACTCCATAGACCCATCTTACCCCAAAAAAAAAAAAAGACAGCTATAGTTTGTTTCATTTGATTATTGGGTGCTAACGTCCTATTTTTTTTGATTATTGGGTCTTTGAGGCCGGAAAATGAAAATTTGGGAAATTCGAGAGACCGGAAGCTGGAAGATTTGACATTTGATCTAAAAAATACTTCTGGTAATTTATCTGGATTTCTGAGGGATTATAAAAACCTATAAATATAAAGCTGGGATGAAAAAAACAAAAAAAAACACCTGAATTTTTCTTGTTGCAATCCCTATAGATTTAAAGGGCGTCCTCTCTAAATGCTAAAGACCCTTATATACTCCAAGAAAAAAGTTCATATAAGCTGTCAAGTTCATGCTATCGAAGGAAGGTGTACCTCAAAAACTTATCAAAAAATGTTGTTTCTATGCTAAAAAATCTCTCTCGTTGATCGCCTCAACCTTGAGATATATAAATATGAAAGAAAAAGATTTCAAATCACGAAAATAGTACATGTGACTTATTATTTGGATTATCTATTTTCAAACATTGATACCTCGTATAACCCTCCCCAAAATTTCAAAGGCTTATTATTTAACCAAGAAGTCTAAAGTTCTGTCTATTTAACCAATAAGTCTAATGTTGTCTCACTTGTTTTATGTAGTTTTCTTGTTGCAGAGATTTGGCGTTTTCCCCCTCTCAAAACTGTAAGATCCATGCACTCCAAACTCTAGAGGCCTATAATTTACCGAAAATGGTTGGATAAGGATGCAATCCTATCAAAATAAGTAAACCCTTGTCTCATAACCTCCGAAAAATTGCCCCAAGTATTGAAAAACCTTTAAATCGATAATCTGGGCTTGTACATTATGGTCGTGAAAAAACTTAAGGTTTTAAATTTTAAAAATAATGTTTATTGCTACAAATCTTATAGACCGTCCATGTTTGCTTTAAAAATAAGTGCTCATGATCAGCAAGATGTATAGCATTTTTTGAGTTTCAGAATTTTTTTTTGGTATTGAAAATTGATTTTAAAGCCATCATGGAGATTTTGGATGCCATAGAAATGAGGATATGAGGTGAGACTCTATTTTGTTTTCATAAATCCTAGGCCTTGTAGAAACTCCATCCTTAAAAAAAATTAAACTTTTGTTTCATTTGATTTTTGGGGTTTTCTTGCACACAATAATTTGTATCTTTCTCAAAAGTGAGGGAGAATATTATCACTTTAGTGATTTGGACTTTGGACTTTGGACTGAGGGCCTCTATTTTATTCCCATCATTTGTGCATAATGTTTTTTAAAAGAAGGATGAGAGATGGAATCGTTGTTGGGGTTGAGCCACAAATACCAAACACTTCATAAGATTCAAGGGACCCTTAGAAACACTAGTGATGGGTTTTATTATATTGCGTTTCTCTCTCTAAAACAGTAAAAAAAACTTTCTCGCTCTAAAGTCTGAGCTATTGGACATGTAGGAGTACTTTAATGGCCATGTAGGAGTACTTTATCTAAGGATGAAGGGGAATTTCATGGGGATTTATTGTCCAAAGAGCTAAAGTGACAGTGGTTCCTTAAATGGGAAACATTGTTGTTTAGAATGATAAGGGGTATGTGACTTGCTTTACATTTAAGAGAGAGAACTTATTTGCTTTGAGGTCGAGGTCATTAGGTTAATTGTCCTTTATAGCATACTCCTGCTGGAGCATACTGTATGTTAACTGCATTTGGTAGAATAAATACACACATAGATATATCTTCCCTTTTGGAAAATGGTTTGATAGGGCTGCAGCCCTATCAAAATAAGTATAGCTCCACTTTATAACTCATCGAAAAGTGCAATTCAAACATTAAAAAGCCTTAGCATTGATCATTTGGCTTGAACATTATGATTGTGAAAAAAAAAAAATTCAAGCTCTAAAAAAACAATTATTATAACAAATTATCTAGGCTGTCCATTTCGCTTCTAAAAATAAGTGTTCATAGATGTACCAGATCTTTACCATTTTTTGAGTTTCGAATTTCATTTTCAGTGTTGAAAATTGATTTTAGAACCATCATTGAGATTTATTTTGCCTTTAGAAAATGCTTTTTGGATGTGGATTTGAGGTGAAGCTTTATTTTGTTTTCATAAAGCCCAGGACTTATAGAAATCTCATCTTTTTTTTTATATATTAAAGTTTGGGGTCCACCTAAGAATCGTTAGATGATTATTATGAAAGGTTGTGTTTTATTTTGCCTCCTTAAATTCAATGGTACTTGTTTAATCTTCGAACATTATTTCTGTATGCCAAGCGATTTGGACCTTTTTTTCTTTTTTTTTGAGGATGGTTGTTAGATTCAAAATATTACATCCCTCATAATTAGAACCCTAAAAATAATAATAGCTTAGACTTTAGCCAAGGAGCAAATATACAATGGGATTGTCTACAAAGAGACCATTTATCTTTTGTATATAGAGGTGACGGTCATTGTTACACATTAGATGTCAAATTGGATAGCTTGGGGTGAGTCACGAAATCCGATAAATTTTTTTTATGGAACTTTATGTCTATTCAATGATATTTTTATAACCACTTATTTTGAAATTTGAGAGACAAGAATGATTGTGACCTTTATGTATAAAAGATAAATAGTCTCTTTGTAGCATACACTTGTTGTAGATTGTCTTATGCCTTTGAGAAGGTCTTGATTGTAAATACTAATAAATAGAGTGTAGAAGGTTCTAGAGAAGCCTTTCAAATCCTAGATGCCTCTGGAACCGGCTAGACATGTGACAATCCCATATACAATATACTCCCGGAGAAGCAGCCAGGCTTTTTCACATTGGTGATTATATTCTTACTCAAACGAGAGAAAGCCTTTTTCACATTGGTGATTATATTCTTACTCAAAGGAGAGAGAGATGTATTCATTATTGGATGGAGTTTCTATAGGGCCTAGGTTTTATGAAAACAAAGTAAATCCACATCTTGTATCTTTATTTGGAGAGTGCTTTAGGCATATGAAATCTCTCTGATAGCTCTAAAATTAATTTTCACCACTTATTATGAAATTTGAACCTAAAAAAATGGTACAGATCTTACAAATTCGTGAACATTTATTTTCAAGGCAAAATGGACAATCTATATAATATGTTACAATATATACTCTTTTTAGAGCTTGAAATCTTAATTTGTTTCACAATCACAATGGTCAAGTTCTAGATGATCGATTTGAAGGTTTTCTGAAACCAAAAATACAATTTTCCATTAATATTGAGGTGAGGCTTTATTTATTCGGATAAAGCTATAACCCTATCAAAATATTTTCCTTAATTATTTAGTATGCTCCTAGGAAAGCTAGTGGGTGGATTGAGACTAATGGCCACATTGTTGCACTATTTAATCCAAAGTTGGTGTGCATTTTCTTAGGGAGTTATTATTCCAATCCTCCTATGACAGGGGAAGAATTGTGACAAGTTCCTTGCAAGTAATTTGCTCTGTGCATTGGACTAATTTCTAAGCCATTATGGCACTCTATGCATAGCTTAGGGGGAGCTGTTATGAACTTGTTTGTTTTTAAGAGGGGGAGAACTGCAACACCGATGTAGGGGTGGCAACGGGTCCGGTTTAGTCCAACTGGATTCGAACTCGGATCGGATCCAAAAATTTAAATATTTATATATTTAACTATATTTTATATATTGGGACCCAAAAAATATTACTAGAACTTGACCCAGATAGTGTTCGGGTCCAAGATATTGGACCCTGACCCAGACCGTTGGGTCCGAGTTTCAAACCTGTACTTGGACCCGGATCAGGTCTACCCCTCAGGTCCCAAGTCCGGTCCGGATCCATTGCTACCCCTAGGCCAATGGACTTGTTTGTTTGTTAGAGAACGCTAACCGGAAAGGCTATGACAAAGTGAAAACTGAGAGAAAACCATAGAAGGAGAATTATGAGTGCGTGTACTATGCTTCTGCCAAACACTTACTTCTATTGAAGAGTTGGGAATTGTTTTTCATGTGAGATTTTGGGATCCACCTAAAAATTATAAAATAATTATTTTCAACAAATAAAATTAGGATTTTGAGTTTTAGAACGAAAATCTTATTCTCTAAAAATTGGAATGCGTATTCAATTTCGGGACTGTTTTTCTTGAGACAATTTAGTCAGTTAGTGAGGTTAGTCCCTAGGTGAAAGAGGTTGTTTCCCCAAAGTTGAAGGTCCCAAAAATGCTCCTAGTTCGTATTTTACCCAAGGGAGTAAATAGACAGTATGCTCCTATGGGAGCATCATAAAATCAGTGGGCTAGAATTAATATACGCAGCGAAGCACATTGAAAACGAACACGTGGTTCATCGCTAATATGTTTACATCCACAAGCAAACACAATCTACAATTTCACTGTCACAGCTCCAAGAAGTAAAAGACGATTCTCTCGTGATGATATCTCTTTC